TTCTTCACCAGACTCTCCAGCACATCCGCTAGATACATGTCCACCCTTGCGCCCGATGGCCGTGGTCCGTCGCATCGATGTAATCCCATTCGGCCTCCTGACCCGGCCGGTCTTCTTCTTCTTCTTCTCCCTCTGAGCCCAACGAGCCCTCACCCTGCTCATCTCCCCGCTCCGAGTCGTACTCATTCGTGTACGAACAGCTGTCCGTCGAGGACGGGATCCCTAGGCAACGCAGCGCCTCCTGACGTCGACTCGTTCGATGGAGGGTCCGGTTTGAGGACGACTGCTCCGACTTCGAAGTCGTCGTCCGGTCCGAGGGCGAGAGCCCGCCAACAGTCGTCGAACTGGAGAGGGTGGACGAACGGCTGTCTTCGCGCAGACGGTAAGTGCCGCCGAGAACACCGGGTCGTCCCTGGATGAGCAGCTGCTGCCGTTGACGGAGGAGCGAGTTGAGGGGCGGCTTCGGCCGGCAGGCGGACATAAGCTTGAGCGTTGCCGAGCTGGTGGCCGACCAAGACTCGAGCTGGTAGGGAGTCGCGCTGCTGTACAGCCAGCCAGTCAAATCCCGCCATCGACCATATCACCCACGTTATTATTCTGCTGTTCGAGGTGAGCCAGTCTCTCCTCTTCGAGTAGCGCATTACGTTCTTCGGTCTGCTGGAGATCAGCATGGATTGAAAAACACATTCACAGACAAAGTCAGAGGTGCAATCCAGGAAACCAAAAAACTAGGCAATGGTTCGAAAACGTGACCTACGAGTAGACGGCGGAAGCACCACCACCAGCGACCATAGTTGGAGACTCAGACTCGTCCGTTTGCATCTCTTTCTTACGCGGATGATCCAAGATGATATCCAGCAATTTGAGGAGGAAGGAGAAAGATTTAGGGCAGATAGAAGAATAAAAAGAAAATATTACCATACAAATGTCAAGCTCCCAATGAAGTCGTCCGACCAATTCAATAAATGCCTGGAGATGAGCATCCGAGATGATCAGCTTCCTCGGTTTGGTGATTGATTGTTTTATGGGGGAGGGGGGGGGGAGGCGGTTGACGGACTTACCTCGATACGCCTATTAGTATCAAAATACTCAAGCGATTGTATCGTATTTGTGATCCAGGGCAGGAAATACGACTGACTCGGATCAGCTGCTGGAATCCCGGACTTTGAATACGATGTATTCAGTCGGGATCGTCATTCAATACCGATCCGAGATATCGGGGTGTATCAAATCCAGATACCCCCGAATACCGATACTCGTCTCGTATCGGTGGCAGCGTTGGTTGTACACCAACGGTGGGCCGCTACGCTACACTACGCTATTTGGCCACTACATGATAGCGTAGCTGCTTTTTTTTGCTGGAAATCCTGTAGTGTTAGTTCACGCTACACACCGCTGAGCTAACTGCCAGCGTAGCGTGAAATTTTTCCCTCAAATTTTTTTTAGTGTTAGCTTGAAATAATTGCCACTAAACTAACAAGTAGCGTAACTTTTTCCAAGCTAACAAAACTTCCACTAACCAACAGCGTAACTGAGTTGACGCTAACATTTAGCGTAACTTATACCAAATTAAGCTACACTACGCTACACTACATGCCTAGTTACGCTACACTACATTAGAAGTTACACTACACATGTAGTGTAGTGTACCTCATCAATTAAAGAAATTGATGTGTCAAGCTGGATTTTTGCACAACTTATGTGAAATGTTCATATGACTGATACGGCCGAGGTCCACGGTGACGATTTTCAATGTCCCGTGATCACACACAATCCCGCAGAATATGAACAGCACAAGATGTGGAGAAAAACAAACTGAGGATGTGCCTGGTGAGATTTGAACTCACAACCTCAGCAATGCTGAGTCACATACAAGAGTGCTTCCTTTACACCACGGACAATTGCATGTCGCTCCCCCCCGGAGCGACATCTGGGGGTTACATTGGGGGTTTCGTGCGCAGTGACTGCGATACTGCCGCAGTCACGCACGCGGATTCGTCAAGGTGACGGTTACATCCGGGGCGACACCCAAATGACCGTGGTGTTACCAACTAGGCTACAGATGCTTGTGTTTGCCAGGTCAGTTGGGTGGTAGTTGTCATGGCCCATGCCAACAGCTCCCACCCACACTCTGGTGATACATAATGGTAGCAGACTATCATACACCTCAACACATACACACACACACCCTTGCTGCATGATGTCAAAGTGGAAATTGAACTCAAGTAAGTGTGGGAATGGAACCCAGTAAATTAAAAAATGGCAGGGGGCTAAAATTGAGTGGCCCCCAGTACCAACTGAAAAAAAAAAGATGATCAATTGAGGGGATCTGGATGTAGGCCCCCCAATCAGGCACTTTCTTCAGGGTAGACTAGCGCTAGTCATGTGGTCATGTAATTACATAGTCAGTTACGCTAACAGTTAGTGTAACTTTTAATCAGTTACACTAACAGTTAGTGTAACTTTTTCACCAGTTACGCTAACAGTTAGTGTAACTGAGGGTACCACTGCACTAACTGTTAGTGTAACTTTGCAAAAAGTTACACTAACATGTAGTGTAGTGGGTTTGCCCACTAACACCACTAAAATTTCACTAACAGGATTTTGGGTAGTGTTAGTTGTGCCTTTTTAAAGTTAGCTAACACTACGCTAAAGTTGTTTTTTTGTTTTTCAAAAATCCTGTAGTGTTAGTGGGCCAAAAATTCCCACTAACGGTAACTTTTGTGTAGTGTAGCTTAAAAAGCTAACACTACGCTACACTAACACTACGGTTAGTGTAACTGGCCCACCGTTGTGTACACTCTCAAAGGCCAAAGTTGTACACTCTCAAAGGCCATGAGGAATTGCTCCCAGCCATTGAGAGGTTACACCTACCTGTCAAAAAGAGGATTCTCTTGGTTGCTGAGGGCCGTACACTCTAATCAACCAAGAGGAATTACTATCATTGCTGAGAGTTGTACACTCTCAACAGCTGAGAGTACTCCCTCTTGGCTTTCAGGAGTGTACAAATCCAAACAGCCAAGAGGATGCTCTTGGCCTTCAAGAGTGTACAACTCTTGAAGGCTGAAAGTATTACTCCCGGCCATCAAGGTATGCAAGTTGGAAGGGGGGGGGGGTGGGGACAACCCTCAACAGCTGGGAGGGCTCTCCTGACTGCTGAGTGTGTGCAAAAGTCTTGACAGCCAGGAGGGCCTTCAATTTATGGAGGGAGTTCCTCAGAAGTTTTTCCTGGGTAATTATTATTTTCTTTATTAAAATGCTTTGGGAGACAACTCCATTTCCAGTGCAGGAATGGGAGAAAAAACACCCAGGTTTTGGGTTTTTGGGGCTGGGGACATCCTGGGAGTTGGACATTCCCAAGGCAATCCTCCTGAAAAATCCCAAATTTGGGAGTTGATTAACCAAGGCCCTACATTTACTGTATTTTTCAGCATTGGCAGTGGCTAGGGGAAAATCTGTCAGACTGAGACACTATATATTGTAGCCCAGGTGTCTACAAGAGAATGTAACCCCTATAGGTTACATAATAATATTGAGTTTATTCTATAAGTTGATAATAATTTACCTCTTTATTGATGTACCTCTCTCATGATAATTTATATACCTCACTCATAAAAATTATGATCATTTTAAAACAGTTAATGATCTCTTGGGTTTATACAAGTGAAGATTATCCTGTGTATCTTGATTATTCTATGTATCTCCCTTGTGTATCTTTTGAAATAAGAGAGATGTTCTACATATTGAATCTTCTGAAATAAGAGAGAAATTCAACACATGTACATTCACCATGTTTTGAATATCCTGAAACCTTTCCCCAGAGAAAAAGTGCAACAATATGGGGACTGCACCGGTCCCAATAGCAGTTTGATCACTGGTCTGTAATATCTAAGGGAGTGAATCTTTCCATAAGATTCATCCCCGGGCAATTATTACCATATTAAACCCAACCACCTTACTATGAATATAGGTGCACTTGGGTGTCCTGGGGAAATAAAACAAAAATATTTCCCATGTGTTCCAAATCCATTTGAAACAGGGATCTACCATCACAACAGCCTCACAAAGAGCCTATTTTGATGCCTTTTTAGGACCTGAGATGGCCTTGGTACAATCAACGGTGCAACCATTACGAGACACGTACTCGTAATGGCCCGTATCGTACTTTCAAAGTTCGCAATTACACGGAATCGTATAGTACTCATTCTTGAGTACGATACAATGTATTTTTACATAAGCGTACTTCCCCAATAATACGATACACCGTACTTGTAAGATTATGTACTTGGGAAAAGTACGATACGTGACTGATACAGATACGTAACTAGCTGTAATTCCATGTACTCCTTTTTCATTTTTGTTTAATTTTTTTCAATTTTTTTTGTATTTTTTTCAATTTTTTTTCTAATTTTTTTCTAATTTTTTTCTAATTTTTTTCCCAATTTTTATCCCGATTTTTTTCCCGATTTTTTTCCCGATTTTTTTTTCTCAATTTTTTTTTCTCAATTTTTTTTTCTCAATTTTTTTCTCACCTTTTTTTTCTCAATATTCTGTTCTCACCTGTTTTTTGGGTCAGGCTAGGAGATTGAACAAGCTGGTTCACTCCAAACCATTTGGAATGAAGTGTTTTGCACTACAAAATCTGGGCCAAGTTTGTTGGTGTCATATGGAAGCATGTTATGTGTGAAATCAACTCAAATTCTATCAAATTTTGTGGGGATTTCACACATTATGCTGCTACAGTACACTGCTACATTGTGCAAACAAATGGGGCCCTAGTGTTTTTTGGAGTGTTCAACCTTGCACTCCAATTTTTTTGGAGTGTAAAAATGATGCACTCCATTAATATTCAAATACCAAACACTTCCAAGGTTTTTGTCAGCCTTAGAGCAAGCCAAGCTGGCCAAAAGACTGCTTAATTAAGCCCTCCTTTTCACTCAAGTTCACACTGCAACTTTTTCATCTTAATCTTTTATTTAATTCTGACTTCAGAAGTTGATTCCTCTGCTGCATTTAAATTATTAACCACTACCCACTTTTACAATATTCTCCTCCTTCAAAGACTTTGCAATATTTTACTGTACCTTGTGAAATATCAACCAAGTTAGAATTCTAACTCTCTCTACCACATGTACATGTTTTGATTATGTAATCCAGCCATGAAAATTATCTCAGTTGATACTGAGTTTGCATTTTCAGGATCTTCAAGGTTCAGACCCACCCAGAAGGTTCACTCCAAAAAGATTTCCCCTTCTCACAACATTTCTCCACAGTTTTTGTGTATTCAAAATGAGTTAAATTCCAGCTAATCCACTCTTATATTTCTGAAGTGAACACCTGGGCACTGTGTACTCCAAAACCTTGGGAGTGGATGGGATGTCAGTTCATATGTAGTTGTTCCTGGAGCATTGTTGGAGTGAATTGCCTGTGCACTCCACAAATGATTGGAGTGCATCATTTTTACATTTCTAAATAAATTGAATTTCAAGGTTAAACACTCCAATAAACACTAGGACCCCATTTGTTAGCACAAGACAGCAGCATAAGGTGTGGAATACTTGCAAAATTTGATAGAATTTGAATGGATTTCACACATTCTATGCTTCAAAATACTGACTTGGCCGAGACTTTGGAGTATGAAACACTACACTTCTAGTTCAATCCATTTTTGGAGTGCATGTAGTAAAAACTAGGAGTGCCTTTAGCCTGACCCAAAATAAAAGTGAAAAAATGAGAATGAAAAAAAATAAAAAAAATGAGAAAAAATGAAAAAAAATGGGAAAAAATTGGAAAAAAAAGAAGAAAAGAATTGAACAAAAGAA